TCTGTCAATTTTATGATAAAATACAAACAATAAACATATTTTTACGCTCTTTAATTTGTAGTGAGATAATTCGCTTCAGTTCTTGCTGCATATGAATCAATGATATTTTCCTCTTTAATATTTGCAGCACGAAATAAACATGAATATTTGAATGCATGTTGAGGAGGAGTAGGCCTATAGGTGAAATTTTCACATTAACTTCACGCAATATAACATGATTTTATTAATAATTTTAATTTTGACTTCATTCTTAAAATATTATGACGTTAATCTTATTTATTTAGATATTTTTCAACGTGGCACAAAAATGCTGCCGTATAGGCTACTGAATGCAAACACAATTTTGGCACAGCGGCCCAAAAAACGAACAAAAAAAGAAATAAAAAAAACAAACAAAAAAAAGTAAAAAATAGTGAGGGGATATTTGAATTATTTGTTAATAAACTAATGTTTTCTGAGTCAATGTTGAAAAAATGAATTTGACGAACCTGACTCGCAATCTCTTCATTGGACGTGCCTTTAGAGAGAAATGCATCTTTACAGATTACATAATGAAAGAGTTTTTGTTGATATTACATATCAGTATATCTTAAATAAATACTATTTTGATACCTTGGAATAGCGACGGAAAGATCACCATATTCATTCTTTCAATTGTAACTACAATACATGTAAAAAATACATGTCTTTTTTTCTCCCTTATCTCCATCTGGTCTAGTGTAGCTGATCCGTTTAAAAATTAGTCAGGCATTGACCTCAGACACCTCCCCTCAACAGGGTCTCGACGGCAGGTTAACACAAATATGGATCCCATCAGACTAAAGGAGATCGGGTTTCCCTCCACAGAGTCCCCTCTAACTCACAGGAAAAGGTTAAGAAAAACATGAAATATGGACCTATAATGGGAAAATGTTCTCTCGGTCTGCGGTGGAAGCAGTGCTTGTGTGTATATGTATGAGTGAGGATGGTTTTCATGTGTTTAGAGAGCAGGGTCTTATCTCTCTGAGGTATTGACTCAACAGGCCCCTGTGCCAAAGGGTGTCAGTTATCGCTTGTCATTGGCCTACGATGAGAGTGTGTGACGGGGCAAATCCATCTTTAAAAGAGAGCTAGGGAGAGGGAGAGTCCTTGAAAGACATGTCCTGTGTTTATATGTGTTTCTATAATACAGTTAATGACATCAGAGAAACAACAGACATATCTGCTTCTTGTATTTAAATCACATGACTGCTTGGAAAGTCAAAAAAAAAGGTGATTTCATCTCATTTATGCCACATACACTGAATTGAATGTTCACATGGACTATAGAAATTGTTGTCTTGACTGAAAAATTCAAAAAAGGCAGAGAGAAAATTGAAAAAGGGAGGATGAGCATCAACTGGCACACTAGTCTCCAGTTCTCACAGGTTTGGGGAATTAACACGGCTATAGCCCAAGGGTAGAAAGCCACAGTTAGCAGGAACACAGCCGGTAATGCGAGCTGTCATAATCCGCACTGCTCACAAGTCAGACACACACACACAGGCCTGTAGCCCTGCAGCTAACACCATGTACTACACTTAACATGGGAGTCGGTGTGGAGAGAAACAAGAGGATAGAAAAAAATGATCATTTCTGCTGTCTGTCGTACAAGTCTTCAGCTCACAATAGTATGTTGAAATGTTGCCCTGTGTGTGTCTGTGCAATTCTGTTTGAAAGAGTGTTGGGTTTATAATAGTGCTGTCAAATGATTAATCGCATCCAAAATAAAAGGTGTTGTTTACATAATATATGTGTGTGTACTGTGTATATTTATTATGTATATATAAATACACACACATTCATGTATATATTTAAGAAAAATATGTTACGTTTATATATTAAATATATTTATATGTGATATACATTATGCATATAAATATATACATGTAAACATTTTCAAAATATATGCTGTATGTGTGTGTATTTATATATACACAATAAATATACACAATACACACACACATATATTATGTAAACAAAAACTTTTATTTTGGATGTGATTAATCGCGATTAATCGTTTGACAGCACTAGTTTATCATTATCTAGTTGTACAATAGATTAATTTATGTATTTTATCACTGTGTCTGTCACGCGACTCTGTTGCCCTTTCGGGCTTGAACTGATGGTAAAACTACATTACACATGGGGCGTTACATTTCCGAGAGGCGGGGCATAGAGGACCTACAATAATGTACAGTATTTGAAAAATAATGTGTTTTTTGAACATTAAAGCATGTCAACATATTCTGTTACATGTCTTTAAAATAGCATCATATGACCCCTTTAATTTTCTGTCTTTTCAGTCAAGACTGTTTACTGTATGTGGTATAAATGAGCCTAAATGTATTTTTATTTTGTACTTATTTTTCTTTTTCTTTTTTTTTTCTTTTCTTTTTTTTACTTTCCAAGCAGTCATGCTTGTAAAAAACAAACATGAGCAACACACTTAGAATAAGGTTCAATTTGTCAACATTAATGCATCAGGTATCATGAACTCACAATACACACACACATATATTATGTAAACAAAAACTTTTATTTTGGATGTGATTAATCGCGATTAATCGTTTGACAGCACTAGTTTATCATTATTTAGTTGTACAATAGATTAATTTATGTATTTTATCTTTCCAGTAAAATGTCACTGACTTATATTACTGAATATATCTTCGGTGTGTATTTGTCTTGTTTGTGATTTTCCACTATTTTAAATGTAAACCTTATAAATGTGAGGGTAAATGTAATGTATTATGTCTGTAAAAGAAAATGCTCAGCAAGGCTCCATTTATTCGATCAAAAATACAGTAAAATTGTAAATTATATTATTTAAAAAAAAAAAATTTCAATTTTAAAATATCTTAAAATATAATTTATTTTGATGTCAAAGTTGACTTTTCAGCAACCATTACTCCAGTCTTCATTAATCATTCGAATATGCTGATTTTGTGCACAATAAACATTTATTATTATTATTATTATTATTATAAATGCTGAAAACGGCTGTGCTGCTTATATTTTAGTGGAAATGGTAACCCCCCCCCCTTTTTAGAAATATCAAAAGGACAACATCAACATGATAAAGACATATTTTGTAACATTATAAATGCATTTTCTGTCACATTTAATAAAGTTAATGTTTAATGGTCTTCGCTGAATGAAAATAGTAATTGCTTTAAAAAAAGTTTTAGTAGTGTATCAGAATCTATGTTTTTTTATTTAGCAAAGAATGGGGGAAAATGTAAAAATTTGTATAACTATATCTTTTTTTAGTATAGTGCTACATAAAAATCATACATGATACGGTAACATTTACTGCACCCTTTTCATTTTCACATTACAATTAAAATTGTAAATATCTGGTCAAATGGCACAAAAATGCTCAGTTTTTCACGCTGGTGTTTCATAGTTTGAATACATTTTATTTCTCATTATAAGTACAGTTCAGTAGTTACAAAACAAAGCATCTGCCATGAGGATACAGCAACCAAATGAAAATCATACAGTCCACAAGACAGCTCAGAGGTGTGGAATGCTCATATATTAGTCCTGAACGACTGAAAGAGAGATAGATGCTCAGTTATACTACACAGAGGAGGGAGCCAGAGGTGTGCTCATCTATAACCAGTGTATATAGGGATTGGTCAATACATATCCTATCACTGACCCTCCCTGTCATAATTCCTTTACCTTACATAACCTGTACTAGTTTACTGAAACTAGTTCACTAAACAGCTTCACTTTGAGACTTGTTTTTATTTTATTTTTTTTTAATTGTAGCATTTAAGAGAAGACATAACCTTGCATGGAAACTATAAAAACGATTTTTTTAAGAAATATTTTTTTTGGAAAGAGGACAACTAAAGAATATATCCGAAGAGAACAGACTCGAACGCATTGGAGTCTACACACAATGACTTACTGGGAAGTTCACTGAATTGATTCTCAAAGCAACAGAGATGACCATCATAAGATGAGATAGTTTGAACTACACAGACCAAATCAGTTCACAAAAGAATAGAGAGAATATCAGTTCACAACGTCAAGGGACGCACAAACACGCACGCACACACGCACCTTCATTTTCCATTAGCGATCTTCGTACTGTAAAGACTGGTTTTTCATTTACTATCACAGTGCAAAATACTTCAGGGGGGAAACCTCGGTTTGTATTTGCTTGCATGAGGCATGGGTATATATACTGTATGGATTTATACGCTTGCAGCAACAGAAGAAGATTGTCGATCTTTCTTTTTTTTTCCTTTTCTTTTAATGTTATTGGTATTTTACAAAGGTGAAAGGCAAAAATTACAGTACTAGAGAAGAAAACTCCAATCTAATACCTACACTCTAAAACAGCTAGCTTTGTAAATGCAACAACGCATGACTGTATCTATGGCTAGACAATACTTGTTTCTTGTTTGCATGGTTCTTTTCTCTTTTTTTTTCTTTTTCTTTAATAATTGAATACATCAAACCATTTCAGTAGTCAGTAACACTTTGCAACACTGATTGGTGGCAGTATATTACAAACACAATCTCATAACCAGAGTACTTGAAGTGAGCAAGACTGAGATCAAAGCATGTAGGGTTAGGGGCCGCGTTTCTGTTTGATTTCTGCAGGCCGCACGTTCGCAGTCTCCTTGGCTCGTGCCATCTCATCAGACACGCTCGGTGTAAACTAGTTGTTTTGTCACCTCGGCTGGTTTTTGTCTCGAATGCTACGGCGGAGTTCAGCTCTGAACGTCTCACAAACACATCGTGAAATCACGTCGCCAGTTCTCAAAGAAAAAGGCGAAGCTTCCCTTTTTTTTTCTTTTCAAACGCAGCGTTCTCGTTTCCTGAAAGTACTGGATTGTCGTTCTTCTGCTTTGACGTCCAGGCACTGACTGCTGAGAGTGTGCTGATTACAAAGGAGTTTTTTCACAAGAGTGTGCTTGGTCTCCAAACGTGTAGTGGGTTGGTCCAAACGTCCAGAGGAAAGGGAGCCTCAGACAGATAACACTGGTGAAGTTTCAGTGGGCAGTGAGAAACACCGGCAGAGAGAGAGAGAGAGAGAGAGAGAGAGAGAGAAGGAGAGAGGGAGGGAAGTCTGTTCAGTTTCTCACTCTCTCATTCTGAGACTGGCAACTGGCTGCCATCTTGGTTCAAGGAATGTGTTGCTCTGAGGGACAAGCACTTCAAAGTTTCCTCACTAGGTCAAAGTCAAAAAAGCTATTAAAAACACAGAAAGTATTTATCAGCTACACAAGGGAGGTTTCAAGACACATAAAACACAGGAAGCAAAAAATCTTTTTTTTTCCTTGTTTCCAGCTCACTAAACATCAACAAATCTTCTTTCCTTCATCCAGCGAGAACGCTCGTGCAGGAAACCATCTGAGCTGTCCATTTTATTAGTCTTTTTTTTTCTCTCTCTTGAAGTCTTTTACGTTAAATAATGCTTTTGATAAGATAATGTCCTTCATAGTCACAGTCCTCTTCCTCTTTTTCCGCCGCCTGCTCTTGGCCGCTCAGTCCAGTAGGGGGAGGTGATGTTAGTTTCTGATTAGTCCTGCATCTCTGTGTCAGTTAGGCTATGTTCAGGGGTAAGAGCAGGGTCAAACCGTCGGGACGCCTCTTCCTCCGCCCACAGATGAACTACAGTTAAGAGAACAAACGCAGATTAACACCACCGCCTGTGTCCTTCCTCTCTCTCTCTCTCTCTCTCTCTTTCACACAAATGCATACAACCATTATTAACAGAAAAAAGAAAGAGAGTTTGTTTTAAATTGGCATCTGGGATTTTGGTAACACTTCAAGGACATGAAATTCAAAGAACTCTCATGGTTATTAGCCTGTGATGATGACTAGGACCATCAGTAATAACTAAAACATGTTTTATAAAGAGTCCCAGTGATTTAAGGTCCACTTAAGTGTTAGCAAAATGTACATACTTTGATGCCCTTGAACAACAAAAGGTTTTTAAACAACAATAATTATTAAAATAAAAAAACACATTTTGCTTTTCATCACTTAATTATGATTTCAAAGCAGTTATAATAATAATAATAAAAAAAATATATGATTTAGGGTGCATTTGTAAAAAAAACAAAAAAATGAATGACCACTGTAATGCCTTTGTGTTTGTGTGTGTTTTTAAACGTCGACTATAAACCTCTCCATTCATATGTACCGTTAACCTCTAATGGCACTAAAGAAAACACATCTTGTGAATTATTAGATAAAACGTTAGACATGGGAGGAGGGTAATTTGAATACTTTCAGACTTCTTCCAGCTTTAATATAAAGATATAAATATATAAAGTCTTCTAATATAAAGACAATAACTCTCTGAACATTGCACTTGTGCAATTACTGCTGAAGTTTGAATCCGGTGAAAGTGCTTACTGCTTTTTTCCCCCTATTTATGTGCTATCGCCGTTTGAACTAAATAATATAAATGTTGTTTAATTCCCTCTACAACCCCTAAGAAAATTATTTGGCAATAAAATCTACAGAGTGCATTTCAGAGTCGTGTTCTTTTTTTAAAGTGCCTCTATGAAAATGACAAAATGAAATTAAACATGCATTTATTTGAGTGTGCTCTCGCAAGAAATGTTATGGAAATGAAACGAGGAGTCAGTTCCCCGCTAATAATGGAATAAAACATCGTCATTTAGATTTGCCAAAGAGCAATAACGCTGACGCCCACTCGCTTTGCATTATGCGCACATCTGAGGTGTGCACTTCTTTAACAGACACACTTTCCACTCAGATGTCAGGCGCTTCTGAAATTGCTGATAGAGATTAAGAAAAATAATTAACCACTTTTGCGTTCTCAGATACATTTTTTTTTTCTCACAAATGCCACTGCTCTACTATTTGAGAAATTGCAAGAGAACTACTTATAAATATAAGAAAATAAAATTATTTATTTATTTGTTTGTTTATGGTCATCTTAAAATTTATACTGACAGCAAGTGTGGCTAAAACATTTTCAGTTACTGATGCCATTACAGAAATACCGACCGATAATGAATTTATTTCACAAACAAAAAAGGGCCCAATAAAACGGGTTATCTGAAGATCTGACTGCTCCCTATAAAATAAAACAGCTTTTACTAGGCTACTTGTGTCTGGAGTCTTCATCTCATGTCTACACCATTGAAACTTATCATTTAAATTTTTTAAAATGTACTATTAATTTCTTTGTGCTTAAAAAAAATTAAGTGCATCTTTAAAATAAATACCAGACTTGCCAGGATAAGCAAAGCAAACCAATGGTTTCTTTCAACTGCTCAGACTGAAGAATGCATTGCACAGTTTGTCCAGGAGATGGCAGTATAAGCCCCCGAATTAGCAATCCACCCAAATCCATGTTGAAAATAAAATCGTGTTACTCAATGTCATTTTCCTTTAACCTGCTGATATTTCATGTTAATCCACGGATAAAGTGGCTGTTATTTATCAAATCTGAAGTGATTGGCAGTGTTTTTAAAGACTATACTGCGGTCACAGCTCTACAGCTGGCTGATGGCATTTTTTTGTGTCCGTGAGGAAATTAAGATAATCATAACCATAATGATAATAAATTACATTCTCGAGTTTTAAAAATGCCTGGTCTCCCAGGGGCCAGTGCTCTTCGTGACTTCCTCTTAAAGAAAGTTCTGGTAATGAGTTACAGATTCCGCCCCATATTTGATTTTCACTCTTCATTAACTAAGCCACCTGGAATGTTATTATTTAAGGACGCCATTTCTTTTCCCCAAACAACTGCCACTGCGATCTGGAGACTAGCACACCAACTTTATGATCCTCACAACTTTTTTCCTCCTCCTGTTCTGATCAATTTTGAAGTCTCCCTGTCCGCATGTGGAGTGATTGCTTAATTATTTCAACACCCTAGAAATCTTTATCATACTCTAGCCTGTCAAATTATGTTGTTATCGGTCTGTTTTCTCACAGGTTGAATCATGAGCCTTTGTTTGTCCAGGCATTTGTTTTCCTTGCCTTCAGGTTCAATTATTTTTGCATGATCAATATTATTACTTCATGACCTTAGAAGTTACTCAGTTTAAAACGGTTGTGAAAATGACACGCCGTCCACCATTGAATCAGAAGCAAGAAAATGTGGCGCCCTCTACTGCTGAAGTCTGATAATACACGCTCACTCTAAGACAAGAGAGGGCCCTGGAAAGTAATACAAGACATATGGTAAGAGGACACATAGCTCCAGGATCCATCTTATGTTAATACATGTGTCATGCTTAACAGAACGGCTAAATGAAAAGGCAGACAGAACAATAGCACAGCACAAGGCTGGAAGCAAGCTCAGTTAACAAGGGCCAGCACACTTGGGGAAAAGAGTCAAAGTCCTGACATTTCCTAACTGCTTATTATTATTCCCGGACCACTGAGTTAAGGCGAAGAGCACTCCCATCTAAAACACTGGGCCGCTTTATACCCTAACCTCCCTCAGGTATTCTATTTTTACCATGAAATCTACTTAGTGTATATTTGTGTTTCAAAGGCCCGCTCGTTTTAGGTTTCCTGAGAACAGGGGTCATTTAATTGGAGGAAAATGCGAGGATATGAATTTCTGAACTATTGAATACATGTTTAAGCAATCAGATAAGGCAGAACATGCCTTATGGAAAGGAGTAGGGGACATTTATTTTGCACATGGCCTCTTGACTGATACTTTTACCACATTATGTAGCTACTAAGTGCTTAGCCCATTTGCAATATCCTCTGTTTAAAAGAAAACTTGAGTTCAGCTGTTTTTGGTAGCCTGAAAGTCTCAGTTTTTCGATATGAATGAAGTCTAGATGTAAGTGATGTGGTTCGCCATCATCTCCTGCTGAACACAAACACAACACACACTGCACATTCTGCCACGGAGGGTGGCTTTGTTCTCTCCCAGGCATCCGGTGCTGCTGGAAAAGAGTTGTTTTTGGCAAAGGTAGACCTCATTGTACAGCCCAGTATTTATAAATATGTAAATACGAGTCAGCGTGCGAATACACACACATATAAGCGGGCCGAACGCAAGGAAGTGCACCCAAATCATATTTTTAGAAGGTTTTAATGAATACAGGATGTTTATGAATACCATTTGTAGTGATTCACAAAGACTAGAAGAATCCTCGCACACCACCCCCTCCTCTCCCCTCAAAGCGTAAAAGAAACCCAATGTTTCTGGAGGAAACGGCAGAATTGAACGTTTGGTGCTTGTGTGGGTTTAGATAAGTATACGGAGGAGCACAAAGAAGCAGGCGACCTCGTGCATGTGGCACACTTGAAAAAGTCCTCTGCTTTTTTCATGCTAAAATGCACCGCGAGGAAAGGACGACTGTGAAGGTAAAACAAACAGCGTGTTTGTTACTCCACCAGATGTCTAGGAAGTGAGTAAACCTGCCTCAGATGATAGAGAACGACACCAAAACTGTTTGTCTTGCACGTATTAACCAGAATGAGAGAAACATCCACACGCAAACCAGACTCCGACTCCGTCAAGAAAAGGAAACGAGGTAGAAGCTCTCAATTCTGGAGAAAACGGAGGGTTGGGATGTGCATGTGGATGTGTCTTGCTCTCTGACTCAGTCTATTTCTGGGGCAGAGATTCTCACACTGATACTACCTCCACTGAGCAATTTAAAGCCAAACACTGATGTTGCAATCTGTCTTCTGTGCCTGATAGCGCTTTTCTCCCTCTCTAACCCAAATTACTTTCTTTTCATATCTAATTATATTTGCTAATGATCTTATAAGGGGATAATGGAATGTGCTTGATCTATTACCTTTTTTTGCAATACATAAATACAATACAAATGGCTATGCAGCACTTTTCCATCATCCATTTCAAGCAAAGCGAAGAGAGGATATTTAAACAATATCTAAAATTGTACCACTACCGTCCGCAGTACAAATCTCTTCGCTCGTTCAAAGCTACTAAAGGGGATTCAGAGGAGCAATTTGTCCGTCTACACTGTGGTCTTTTCATGCCTGCTCACTTGTGTGCTCATTCACTAACAGGTTGTGAGGGGGCAACCGTCGGGCCACGACCTCTGCCCCGGCACGTGAGGCATATTGAGTGCGGACAAACGCGGCTAAATTAAAAAAAGACACGTTTTAGGAACAGATACGAGCGCTTTAACCAGCATCCGAGCAGATTTGAATGTTTTCCCACAGGCCCGGCGATGGCCACGGCATGACAGCCGCACTAAACCCCCTGCATTAATGGAAGGAAATGGCATTCGATCTCCATTTGATCTCCTAATCATTTCTGCTGAAATGATAATTAGCGTCCTCACAATCCTCTGACTGTGAGAGAACAGTGTAAAATAAAACAGCGCTCTTGTAGCAGAAATTACACTTCACTCAACAACCGCTAGTATTCAATAACAAATACGTTCTTCTTGTACGTATAGTTACGCAGCCCTCCGAAACGCGAACACACTCGGGCCTCGTCCGCTGGCGACTGCTGTCTGTGATTCTTTTCAACTGACATAATCCTGATTGATTCGTTCAGCAAATAAAAACTCAGTCCACTTGTGCCCTTTACTGCTGGAACATAATACGGCTCTTTATTCTGCAACAATGTAACATAATGGCGTCGGAATGTGAGGAGGAAAAAAACGTTAGGGCTGCGTCTTAAA